TTGGGTGGTCCTTCCTCCCACACCACGCTCTGAAACGCAGGGCAGCGCAGGGGCTGCAGATGCCCGGAGGGAAAAGGTGCTGATGTTTCTCCCTGCGATTGCCCAGGGGAAAGTCAAACACGTGCTTGGATTTTAGGGTTTGTAAGGGACGGGAGCGCCAGCGCCGTCTGCAAGGAGGGACATGTTTCCCCACGCGACGTGCTGCAGTACCTGGGAATAGGCTGGGAAGTGGGGACAACTGGAACGAACTTGGGGCAGTTGGCCATCTGCTCCTGCACCTTCGTGCAGGACGAGACGTGAGAGCGCATTTTCGCGAGGGTCACCTGTAGAAGAAGGAGAGAAGAAACGTTCCCGTAGGCTGCAGGAACAACTTCCAGATGCAGCGCTGGAGCCTTCGCCACAGCTCGGGAGAGCAGCTTTGGTCAACCGACGTCAGAGCGAAGGCTGATCTGCGCGGGATGACCCACAGCAGCGTGGAAACGCCGCACCAACCTGTCCTTCCTCGCAGGACGGAGATCTGGGGCTGCGTGCTCGCTGCACGTGTCCCCAGAGGCCACACACAAGCCACCCAGGCTGCGTTACTGTAGCACTAGCCCCATTTTCCTTTGCAAAAGAGGAACTGCTGACAGGCAGAAACCCCAAACTGCTCTGACACCGTACGGGATCGTTCCTGGGCCGCAGCCAGGCAGTTACAAGGAGATTCCCAAAATTAACAGAAGCCAGAAAACGCATCAGCGGAGATGCACCACGAATCAGAGCTTTACAGCCAGCCCCTGAAGCGTCCCAGACCAGACTGCGCCGGGCCGGGCCAGGCCAGGCCACGCTGCCAGTTCAGCTCCCCTACGGCCATCAGAATCACGGCACCTTAAGCAAGACCTAAATCCTTACCCTCATTAGGAGCAGCAGCAGAGCTGGTTTGTCTCAGCCTCTCCCGTGTTGCAGGAAAACCTCAGCCTGCTTTTGAAGGTCCCCACTGTCTAATAATAGCTCCAGTCTGCTGACAAAGGCAGCTAGGAGAGAGCGCCTTCATCTCCGCACAGCCTGGCTCACGGCAGCAGCCGTGACACGTGGGGAACGCCACACCTTGCAGGCGCAGTGTGGGGACCCACCGAACGTGGGACTCTGCAAACCCAGCCGTGGACAACAAGCGACCTCCCTCGCCCGGCACCATGGCTGCGGGATCGGCAGCCGAACGAAGCCGTACCCGCGCGGGATGGGGACAGGCAGCCTTCCCCCACGAGCTTTACCTTCTTGCTGCAGCCTCTGCAGGGAGCTTTGTAGGACGAAAGCTGTTTCTCCACACTGGAAGCCTTCTCCACCTTCTTGGGGTCGAAGGGCATGCGGCAGAGCGGGCAGAGCGGGGACGGCACTTGAAGGCAGGGCTGCAGGCACTCCCCGCAAAACCTGGGGGCACAGAGAGCAGCGTCGAGCGGCCCGGCGGCGGCCCAACCCGGGAGAAGGCGGGGAAGCGGGACCCCAGCCCTGGGGCACACCTGCTCTCGGGGACTCCTGTGCACCCCAGGCTGCAGGGCAGCCCCAAAACCCAGGGATCAGCATCCCCACTGGGAGAACTGGACAGAACTGGGAGCTTGGGAGAGGGTGTGGGGAGGCCAGGCACAGCCCAAGCCCCAAAGGAGCTCCCTGCACACGCGGCCGGGGCTCAGACAACGCCACTGCTCCAAGACTCACAGCCAGGAGCAGGCACGAATGGAGCCAAACAAAAACCAGTGCGGAGCATCCAGGCCACGCAGGAATAAAGGGAGCGAGCGCGTTAGAGCCCGGCTCACCTCCTTTTCAGGTCCTTACGCCTGCAGGAGCTCAGATGAGAAATCAAAGCAGCGGAGAGGAAGCGCAGGAAGGTGCCCCCCGGGCACGAGGCAAACCGGCTGGGTCCCCGCAAAGTCAACTGTCACAGCGTCCCCGTCCCCTCCGCCTGCCCACCCACCTCCCGTCACCCAGACCGGGGGAATGAGGCCGCTGAGCCTCCGCCGCTGCGCTGGGAGCGGGCACGGGGGGGGAAAAGTCATGGTGTCCCTTACCCCAGCTCCCCGGCATCACCCCCACGAAGGAGCTGGGGGGTGGAAGGGCGAGACTGTGCTGGGGCACTGAGCAAAGCCGCGGCCTCAACGGAGGACCAAGGCGTCCCAGAAACTGGCGGCGAAGGGGGGCCAAGGTGTCACCGAAACACTGGGGGGACAAGCAGGCAGCCCGTCCCCAGGGACCAGGGCACAGCACCCATGGGTAGCCCGAACTGGGGTGGGGGGGTCAGGGCAGGATTTCCACCCAGGCGAGACCCCAGCCGGCACTGCCGGGGTGCTGGGAGCAGAGTCTGGGGGAGATCCTGGGGGCAGAACCAGGTATGGGGGCAGAGGGAGAAGGGGGCTGGGGTCGGGGTGGTCAGCGGGGCAAGGACCCTTGGGTGCGCCCCACGCCAGGGCTGGGCTGGGGGGGACAGGGCAGCACCCC